ACCTTTTTCACAATTTTGGCTTGGGGTGTGTGTGAATGGCTATTTCAATAGAGTGCTGCATGTTATAAGGCAATGCCATCACACAAACCACTTTGCATGTATTAAAAGCAAGTGCTTTATTAGATGGGGCAATTTAAGCACATTACTTTTCACTTGTGGAAGCTAGGAAGTGTTGCATTATGGATGAATTAGATTGTTGTATGTTTAAAGCATGTGTTACCTGGAACTGAGGTTTGCTAGATATATCACATTATAACATATACATCTGCATGATGATGGCAGGACCCCTGATGTGAGGAAGATAGGAAAATTATTATAATCTCCATTTCTAAATTGAATGAGCATTTTGCTCAGCAGAAACCTCTTGACTGCAAATAGTCTGAGATTACATCCTGCTGTTTAAGGTACCTGTGTGTGTGTGTGTGTGTGTCTGTCTGCATGTGCATGTGTTTGTGAGCACTCATTTATTTTTAAACTGAACATAAGTTTCTCACATTCCTTTAAATCAGATATCTTTGATATCCTACACTGTTAGAGCTACTCACATGTTGGCACAGACAGGTCATATTAGTGCAATAGCTATTTTATGATTTATTTATTTATTTGAATTATTTGTATTATTCTGACCCAAGAGATGAGTCACTCTCCTACAGAAAAAGTACTCAAGCCTACCCTTATCAATCTCAGGATGAAACTCTGGCTGCCCTGATTGAAAAGGGCATGAAAGAAATTATGCAACAAAAACTCATTTCAATTCAACAGCTATAATAAAACTGGGGAATGGAGAATTACAGAGGTTGCATTCAGACAAGAGATTAAGGCTTGGCTTAGTGCTACAGGAACGACAATCTCCCCTCATATCTCCTCTTGCATGGCCACAAGGACAATATTCAAATATTCCCATTACATTTTATATCAACTGCAGTTTAGGGGGTCATCTGAACTCTAAACTGTGGTTAATCTTAACTCTGGTTAATGAAAAGAAGCCACCTGCATAAACTATGGCTTGAGTTCAGTTTGTATCCACTGGCCAAAGTTAAGATTAAGCTAGTTTATCCATGTTCAAATAACACGACCAGCTGTGGTTAATCTAAAACAGAAGTGGAAGGTCCTAAAGTCCTCCTCACAGTCACTTTCCACCAGAAGAGAAGTGGAAAGCACCCAGGCCCAAATCTTGCTGCAGGTTGTTCTTGTAATGCTGAACTGGCCCATAGCCATCAAGGTCTACTCAACATTCAGAGCACCATGCCACCTGTTAATTTTGGTTAACAAGGCATATTACAGGAAGGGAAACAAAAATTGTGCAGAGAGAAGCCTGCACCTTATTTCCACACAGGAAAAAAACAGGCAACGATAAATGACTCAGATTCATACTTTGTTTTCCTCCTTTATTGCTGTACAAAAGAGGTAGCCTTTGGTAGTTACTTCTACACAAGCACATATTCTTCTCTAGAGAAAAAAAGAGAGGCTCTATTAAAAGGTATGAGCAGTGTGGGTAACAATGGGACAGCAATCTAGGAAAGTGATATAAATTATAATGTGTCAATCCAAAGAAAACTAGTTACTAATATAGAGCTAAGAGGACAAAAAGGGACAAAAGATGCTTTGTAGTGTTGGATTGCAAGAAATGAAACCAGGGTGGAAGACAGACGGTTGTGGGATGGGGATGTTTGTGGTCACCAAAGGGTTATCTTCCCTCCCTTTTTCTATACATAGTGTTAAAATGTTGTTGCATCTTTCTGTTTCTTTTCTATGTTTGCTAAGGGTTGCACATTAAGCTTCCTTAATGTGGGTTTTTCTGTCTCAGCCCCACTTTTCGAAAGCATGTTCTTCTTCATGGAGAGCACGTATTGCGGTGGGGGAAAACAAGACATCCCTCTGTTGCTGTGTGGGTTAGTTTGGATGGCCGCAAATCTTATTGGGCAGCTCTTGGTCGTTGGGGAGAATTTGATGTTGCAATTTATGATTGACGGCCAATTTATGATTCCTTGCATGCAGTGTTGAGCTGCCTCTTTTCGCTGCATGCATCCAATCCCCCGCCCACCCTCCCTATATTTAGAGCTGTTTGCGTTGACCTTGCTATGCCTGTCATGGGGTCATCTGCTTTGGGGCAGGGGCCTGGTAGGAATTTTGTCCATTTGGCTGATTGGCCGGTGCCATTTGGTTTTTTGCCTACTGCGTAGCAAAATTGTCACAACTTGTAAGGTTGCGGTTAGGCATTGGTTAAATTTGGTTGGTGGAGGGGGTATGGTTGGCTGTGCCTGCCCCTCCAATGCTGCTGTTGCAAGGGTATTCCGTTAAAGGAATCCAGGGGCTCGCCATGCTCTTGTCCGAACCCCTGTCAAGGGGCTAGGGCCACGCAAGAGCCCCTGGGAGCATTTGGGGAGAGGTGAGGGCCTGGCACCCAGCTCTATTCTCTCCCCAAAATGTTTTCCCTTATTGACTTTCGCAGGCTTGCAGATGTCAGTTCTGTTCCTACCTCTAGGTGGGAACAGATAGTCACAAACCAATGCCTAAGCAACCACTTACATTCTGTAATCAATAAAGTTGTAGCCAAAAAATTATGCCAAAAACCTTAAACAAAAATTCTGTGTGAATTGTGTTTTATTTGAGGGTGGCTTGGGGACCTCGACATGCAAGAGAGTATTCTATGCTTCTTATTGAAAACATGGAGTTTACTACCATAGCTATCACAGCTGCATTTATCCAAAAGTAAATTCATTATGATTTTTTATTAAACCAGTTACAATATTTCCCTATACCTGTTACCAGTTCCCATTGAAAGATCACTGACGTATTATTATTCACTTTAGTGCAGAGCTTTCGTTGCATGCTTTTGTTGCTGCTCTGTTACATTTATTATGCAATGGGTTTTTCCCTCTTGTATTTGGAATAGCTAATTGATGCCATTGGGACATAAGTCTCTTCTGATAAAGGACTGCATGTTGTCTGTTTCTTATTTATGGTTTATAACTGGAAAAATAATATATACAGCATGCACACAGTAGTTACAGACATACTAAAAGGCAGACAGATTGAGTACCACAGTATAATTCTGCTGAGGGATTTATATGGTATCATTTACCACAAAGTGGAAATTACAATGTAGTAACACTGTGAAGTTTTAGTTTTGTCTTTATTAATCACCATACTCCCACGCCTTATAATAGCCAAGGCAGAAAAAACTTAGAATAAATTATTCTCAATCCCCTCCACACACCTGATTTTCAAAGTGCTTTGGCGGCAGAATACCTAGACTGGTGCAAAGGGAGCATTTTGAAACGAAGGCTGGTGTATTTTCTGCCTAGCAGACTTCCCAGCTCTTCAGCTGTTTATCATGGCATGTTTATGTTCTGCCTTACCCATTCTCTGCCCTACAGGGGCTATGAGAGTCTTTTAAAAGTAGAGGTGGAAACTTTAAATGAATTCACACATGCATGTTCCTAGCTTAAGAAACTGCAACTTTGACTGGTAACTTGTATGTGTAAGTAGGCATCACGTATCAAATGTTGAATGAAAGCTGACCTAAGACTTCAAAACAAATCAAAAAACCCCAGTTTAACTGGTAGAGGCTGTCCAGTGAACAACAGGGGGTCATCACATCCTGATGAGACATGTTCAGCCCTATACATGTACATGCAGCACATGGTGGTTATACAGATTTAAAGTTAGGTCTGCCTCCTCCAAGTCTAACATTAAAGTCACTGTTCCACTATGGAGTGTATGAGCAATAAATTGGAGAGAGAGAGAGAGAGAGAGGAGATATCAAAGGAAAAACACCTTTTTAAAATGCTGATAAAGAACAGTACATTTGAAGTTTTTAGTTAATTACTTCCAAAGTTCTTCAGTTAAGAATCTTTTGCAATGGGGAATATTCACTTGCCACTATGATAAGGTATCACATATATATCAAGTCAAACAAATACATTCATTTTCAGCTGCAAAAAGTGGGCAGTGTGAAATGAGATATGAGAATCCCCAAGGAAATGAGGGAGTATAAACAGCAGAGGCCAGAGAAAGCCCCAAAGTCCAAAGGTCCTTAACTAAGGTAAGTACACTGGAGGGACAGCAAGTGGCAAAACCTTCTGTGCCCCCTTTGCCACATATCACCTGGTGATCTCGTTAGACTAGTTTCTAATAAACATTGGGGTTTTCCCCTGCGGCATTAACAGCATGTATATAAACTATGGATCAGTAATTAATCTCTTAGGGCCAAGCTAGATACAACTTGGAATATCCATGATCAGATTGCCTGACATTTTTTCTTCTCCAGCTAAAAGAGGGAGTGGGGTGGAGTAGAGTGGTTCAGGGCAGCAGTGCAGAAGGAGGGTTTTACATCCTGGTTCCTCAGTGAAAATCCCCCCCCACCACCAAAGGTGATATCCACTGGAGAGATTTGGGAAAGGGGTATCTGGATAGCTGTCTTTTAAAAAAGAAACCTCATTGGTTAATCATGGCTTCTTGGGGTGAGATTTCCATCACGAATGAGGAAGAGAAAGAGTTAATGCTCTCCATGCACAAGTGTCATGGTCCCAATTCATTCCACTCCATTATTGAATGCAGCTTCCCATTAATTAATTCTATATTCACCTAAAGTGTTGCATTTTTTTTATAGATACAGCACTCACATCCAATACAAGCATAGGTATTTTTTTCCAGTGATACAACATCCCATTTGATACGTTCAGGTTAAATCAGTTTTGGAATATGCAAAAGCAAATCTGTCAAATCGAGAGAAATCACTGGATGCCTTTCCAGTAGGAAATCTGTTCCATGACATTCCAAAAAGAAAGAGAGAGAGAGAGAGAGAAAGAAAGAGAAAGAAAGAGAAAGAAAGAGAAAGAAAGAAAGAAAATAGGGTTCTCTCTCCCAAGTATAAATAAAATGCTATACCGCTCATGGAAAACAGACATCTATTAACTCTGCCCGCCCACCCCACTGTAAGATATACACAGAAACAAACAGTTCTGAAGCTGTAGGCTTTCAAATAATCCACCAACCTTTTTATCCTTATACTCATCCAGAAGATCGGATACATCTACTTTAGACCAAGAACATTCAAAGAAGAATTTATGTCTGCCAGTCTTCAGTGCTCAAAAGCTTCAGAGTTTATAAGAGAGATCAGTGATATGGTAAAAAGGCTCCAGATGCAAAAGGGATGAATAGATATTTCTTCTTAAATGTGTTCTGACTTGTTAAGGCTGTAGGGGGAAAAACAGAATGCAGTTATTTTGAAGAAGCAATATTGTTCATGTAAGTCTAAAACAACAATAAAATACAGGGCCACAAAATTATACTATAGCAGCCATCTCCAACACCTTCCAGGTGCTTTGGACTACATCTCCCATCCTCCCTGATTTTTTACCATGCTAGCTGGGGCTGATGGGAGTTGTTGTCCAACACCTCTGGAGGGCACTATTGTGAGGAAGGCTGGGATATAGGAATGCAACTGTATTGATCAGCACTGTGCATCTATAAATGCCCACCCCCAACTTAATGTTCTCTTTTAAAACAAATGGTGTAAACTTGGAAGACAGTCAGTGTCAGCCATTTATATCTATCTATCTATCTATCTATCTATCTATCTATCTATCTATCTATCCATCCAATCCACTTCTACAGAGTAACTTCCACTAGAATAACAACAGAGAAGAGCTGATAAGTGGTGGGGATAGCATGGGTAGAGGCTGCTTGCTACGAATTCTCCTACAATATGTTAATTTGATCATATTGTACACTTTTTTTTTCAAATCAACAGGTTACCATTGGGGGTTTCTCTTATATCAGTTTTTGGCAACACAGGTTTCTGTGGCTTAAAATAACTATTATTTCACCTGATCTTTTAAATATTCCAGTAATATCATTTGTGGATTCACAGTTGCTACATATAAGGGGTCCAGAAATTCAGAACTTTTGGGCAGCTCAAGAATATATGTAAGTAATTCTGCCCTTTGTGTCCTACATCTCCAACAATTATTTTGAGTTATCTCGTTTAATTTGGGGTAAGGTGCCAAAGATATTGAGCTGGTTTTTTAAAATCTTTAAAATATGTTTATATTACTTTGGGTTCAAAACATTTGGGGCTTTGCTGCGCATATTTGTGTGTAATGTTTACTTCTTCCCCTTAGTTCAAAAAGTGATTTGACAATTAGGCAAAAAGAAGAAAATGTATGAGTTGCTATTGAAGTACATGCTATTTTATTTTTTTAAAGGACATGCACTTTGCCCTGTGCATTCATTATCCTGTCTTCTGAAAAGACTGCCATTATATAGAAAAGATTATCTATGCTTTAGGAAAGAAGCTTTTTAAAATGTTTCCTCCCAGTGAAATCTTGAACTCAGTATTTAAGAGGGAAGCTAAGCCGATAAGTGGAAAGTAGACTGAATTTAAAATAAAAGCTTCCACTTCTTCCTCCCCTTGAGAGTATATTTAGCTCACAGCATACAAATAAATAAATCTTCATTTAAACTGAGATGCAGTGTTGTTCAATAAAAGTGATGGTGTCAGCATTGATATGAAAGGTTCTACCCATAATTCTGCATCCCAAGCGCCACAATATTTCCAGTGCTTGGCTTCGGAGCTTTCTATCCTTCATCACTAAGCAGAAGAAAGGAATGAACATCAGTAACATTAGGAAAACATCTATATGTTCACTACTATTTACTGACTTGGAATGTGCATGAAGTAGTTAAAAGCATGATAGCAAAGCCTGTGTTCAAGGCATACATTTGTTCTCAATAGAACACAGTTAAAAAATAAATAAAGGAAGGAAGGAAGCCAGACTTGATTTCAGCTGAACTTTCCTGCCTTGGAAACACACTGATTTAATTTTACTGCTCAGCAACCCTCCGTGCCCCACTCCACAATGTTAATGAGTGTTTCCCATCTCTCCAGAGAGACTTTTAGGGGAACGCAAGCGGCTGCAGGGGAGGAGGGAGCAGGAAACTCTATTTTCTTAAACTTCCTTAAATTAACTTACCTTAAGATCGAATCCATTATCTACCATGCTTCTACTGCCACTAGTGGGAGCCAATGAGAGCAAGGGTTCTGCCACTTTATACAAGAAGAGCATCTACTTGAACCCTCTCATGCAGTGTTTCAGCATTTGAGGATATAGCATTGGCTAGTCTCCCAGTGAACATACTCAAGGGAATCTCTCTAGACGATGGTGGCTGCTGCAACTGCTGTTGGACTACAGTTAGATGAGCAGTAGCCAAAATGGTGTCCTCCAACCATTGTTGGACTGCAGTACCCACCATCCTCTAACCCAGAGCTTTCCAAACTATGTGTCATGACACATTAGTGTGTCGGCTGCAGTGTGTAGGTGTCTTGCATGAACGCTCCCCACACTCCTCCCAGGGCTGGAAAGGGGATAGTCGAACCTCTGGTTTGCTAATAAAACTGAACCAACATGGAAAGTTTGGAAAGGTCTGCTCTAACCACTGACTATGCTGGCTGGGGCTGATGGAAGTTGCTATCCAGGCAGAGAAAGGCTGTTCTGCATGGTCTCTTAGTAACAGTACAGGAAGTCACACCAAACTAGCATGTACAATTGTTTTGAAATTATTATCAAGACTGTAAATATTAAATAAATGATTTTTTTCTAAAAAAAACTTCGCAGCAAAAAAGTAACCCTGTAATGTATAAAGCTATAAAGTACAGACATTTTTCAAGTGGGATTTGTAACAGCAAAGAAGCAAAGTTGTATGACTTCTACAAATAACAAATGATAAATGTTATTGAAGGGCTTTAATACTCTAACCAAGGTGTTTTTGCTCAAAGTAGATTCTCAAAAGGGCGTTTTGAGGTCGTATTAATGCAACTTTCAGAAATATGTTCTGCACACCTTTATTCTATTACACAACACGGCAAACATTGTATCTTCACATTCTTTTTTTATCTACAATCTCAATGGAATAATGGTTTGGGATTTGTTCATTTTAGGATTTTATTATGGGATTTAATGAATTTTTTTGGAACTGAGGCAACCACAAAGTTTTCTGAAAAGATTATTGCAATCTAATCAAGTCATGAGATAAGCACTCCCCTCCTCTTCTCACGATGCTTCCAGAAACATAAATATTTACAACTTTATCTACTCTGATTATTCATTCTTTGCAGAAGCATCCATATTTTCTGAAAGCAGATAAGTACCAAAGTAATGAATGCCATTTTGCTTAGTTCCTATCATCATGAAGAATATGGGCCTATTATCAGGAAATGCTATGATCTGGAAATCCATCATAGCAGTCCTACAGAAAAGCACAATGTAACTTGGAGAGCAATGCCCATGGAACACTCCTGATAGCAGAGCATGTGCTAACAGAGCAAGCATGGAGGCTGCAGAGGCACCAGCTAAGGAGTCAGGTCATGTTCAAGGCTCTCTAGGCCAGCTGCTGGTGATCAGTGAACCACTCTGCCTTAGGCTGTCAGACAGGATTCCTCAGAAGTTCCTCCTAGACCAGCAGGTCCTGTATGGTCACTGCCAAGACCAGGGCCATTTTTAGCATATGTGCCGCCGGGGTGCAAAGATCCACCCAGCACCCCCAAATTAATTTTTTATTATGCTTATGTCAGACACTACACTTACGCCTTATCTCTTGTTTACGAAAGAAGGGAGGAAAAAGAAATGTGTTTCCCGCTTAGCATTCATCGTAAAATGAAGAAAAAATGCAGCTCACGGAATTCATAGTGTGTGCTCTAGGTGCGTTTTTGCGGAAATGGAAAACTAAAATCGCATGCTGAAACGCATGTGTAGTAGAGCCCTAAGTACTAAGGAGTTAGTCAAAGAAAATGCCGACAATTAGTGAAAATAAACAATATTAAACGATTTCTCTAAACGAATTTGAACTGTAAGTGATGAAATTAAAATGCGCCGTTGTGAATGACAAGCGCCGCTGCTGGCGCATCACGTCTTTGGTAAATAAGCACACAAAGTTGAAAGTCCTTTAGTGAAACAGTAGGTATATATTTTGGTAATAACTAGGTATATATGTATTTTGTTTTTCTAGCTTGATGAAAATTATTTATTATTTCATAACAGATAGATAGTTAAGAGCTTAGGCGGCTTCAGCGGCGGGTGCCTGGCGCCCCCCAGAATTCGGCGCTGGGGTGTCCTGCACCCCTTGCACCCTCAGTAAAGACAGTCTTGGCCAAGACTCCCACAAGCAACTGCCTGTGAACCTAAAGAACCAGATGCCACCATCCACAGCTGTTCACAGATACAGTGGCACAGGGAGTATACCAGGAGTGAGACTACAGAGTGGAGGAGGAGTGCCTATCTTCAGGCCAGATGGTTGATTCTCTGACATTCTCCACAGAGGAGTAAAACAACTTCTAGGGAGCTGTAAAGTGGCCTTTTGTGGCATTTACAGTTTGCTTCTGCTGCAAATGTGCAAAGCCACTATTTTCAGACTGTAGTCCCGGAGAGCAAAAGTCTATCACAGCTGTTACATCTGCCTTTATCTGTTGTTTTAAGAATACATTTTTTGCAATGTTCTCCTAGTAAACACTGCTAATTAAAAACAGTAGACAGAATGCTGTTTGAAATCCTAATATGTAATCTTAATGCACCAATACTATGTAATACTGGAGCCCCTTATGCTGCTGTTAGAGATCTCTTTCCAGCTGTCAATGGATAACATCCCTGGATTCCTGCTAATTGGCTGTACACCAAGGCAAACATCTCAGCTAATTTGAGAACATAGTACCGATTAGTTCTAGATAAAGTATGAATATTTATAAAGAAAGAACCAACAATGAGAGAAAGGCAGAGATGGAAACCAGCAAAAAAAGGGAGAAAAAACACCCTTTCAGATGCTTTAATAAGATTTTTAATCCTTCGAGCAACTGACAAGAATATTTAACTGTCATACTTTCAGAATGGAAAAGACAAAATCATCCTTGTGTATGATCTTTGTTCCTAAATAAAATGCTTAGGGGATTTAGATTTACAGAGCTTTTCTTTAGGCACAAATAAAAATAAAGCAAATGGCTTTTAAAATTGATGGCTTGGATTCCAAGGTGCTCTTGTATGAGCAGAAACGCACCTCAGCTTGTGTGCTGATTTCCTCTTCCAGCTCCAGAGGGTTCCCCAACCATCAGAAAATTATTTTTAGAGGCACATGAACCTCCAAGGACAAGGGAAGTGGGAAACATTCAATTAAGTTCTTGTCCAGCCAGAATATCTAGCTCAGATTG